ATCATCAAATAGATCTTCAAAGCAAAAAAATAAATCAGTACCTATTGTTGTTAAAGACACCAAACGTGTAGTTGAAATTACAACAAAGATATGACTCCTAACAGTACGGCTAATAACAAATCTGGAAAGAAATCTCCTACTTTAGTGATAATTGATACAAATTCCATTTTAAGGACGAGGTCCTGTTGCCTATGGGAACTACAAAACAATCATTTTCAGTGATGCCAGTAGCTGTTCCTGCACAAGGAATGTATCCAGCAAATATTCGAGGGGCAACTATCACCCCAGTAAATAACCCAACAGTGCAGAAAGTGATCAAAACAGTGGCGCAGTGGCATCTGTACCTAGCTTAGTTTTACCAAATCTTACAGATGACATGTTTGTTGTGAGAAGCTCCTAGTTTTATTGTACCCTATGTTTATGAGAAACCACAACAGAACCTTTCCGAGAGTTTGTTGATAAATGGGAAAAGAAGTTGAAGAGGCCAGAAAATTAGAAGAAGAACAAGAGAAACTAAATGAGACAAAGGAGGGAAAGAAAAAGAAAATGATGAACAGAATAATGATGAAAATAAAGAACCTGAAATCAAAAAAAATCTAAAAAGAAGAAGCGACGGAAAGGGGTGATGATGATGAATTCTTGGATGAAAATGATACTTCAGATACAGAAGATGAAGATGATGTAGATGGAGAAAAAAGTTCAAAAAGAAAGTAAGTTTAGTTAAAGACATTAAAGAAGATTCTTTATAAGCTATTAGAAGCATATTATAACACCAGTATAGTGTAACAACCGTCAAACCTGTCGTATAAAAAAAGTGATAGTTATTTGATAACCCTATTGGTAAATTTTTCATGTGAACATAGGAATAAATTTAGTACAAGATATGTCAAACAGACTTGCTCAAGCAGCAGAAACGAAAAGGATCGAGAAAACAAAACATCAACTAATAGTACTGCTACACAAATGGCAATAAATTCATTAATTAAAAATCTTGAGTTCAGTAAAGAAAACAATGAACCTTATCACTTTGAACAGAAACGTTGTGAGATATGTAATTTTAAAACTGAGTCTTCATTGGCACTTGACACATAATTGGAAACTCCACACATGCGAAACTATTTCTATCGTTGTAATTTCTGTCCATTTGAGATTCGAAGTCCTCATGATATCCTAATTCACATGGAAGTTGAACACAAAACTAAAGGACGCCTAGAACGGGCAGCCTCATATCACCATGTCCAAATTGTCCATTTGAAGATAATGGTAAGGCAAAATTAGCCAGGCATCAACTGGCTTGTGCAAAAGAAATTCAAACCTGAGGTCAATCTTGGACCACCTTTGGACTGGGAGCCTCCAGCCAAAATCCCAAGGACTTCAAGACCTAAACAATCATTAACTAGTGGCGGCCTCAGCCTATCAGCAAGCAATGGCAAATCAGGCGCGAATTCAACCTGCACCAGTGTCTAAAATGACCTCTGGGCTCAAGGGAGGAGAGGAAGGCCGGCATTGAATAAGGCTTTATCTGTACCGACAGGAACATCAATGATAAGAGGGAATATGATGTATAGAACAAATGTTCAAAACAGTAACCAGTTGTTGCTGCCTAATAATTATTCTTCTAATGCCAACCAGCTAATGCAGGTAATAATAGTGGAGATCACATTTATTTAATGTTTGTCTAAATACTTGATTTTATGAGCATTTTACATTGTGGAGCTTCATAAAAGTTTTTAAATATAGGGAAAAGATGTATGTAGTGACTTCATTTTTGTATTTTTTTTTTTTTTTAATTTTATTAATTTGTTGTTCAAAAAGTAAAGTTGCATGTTATGTTAGGAATGCTCTCCAATAAAACAAATTGACAAATACGCTATGTATATATTAATATACAAAGATCAGACTAATCTGCTCCCCCCACATGATGCAATCTCTATCTCTGAGAGAGGCTGATGAAGTATTTAATTATTATTGTGTTTAGGTGGTTGGCACCTCGGTAAATATGCTGCCTGGCACAATGGTGGCCACCAGTAGTGGCTCAGTCACTATTCAGGTAACCGTATGAGTGACCTAAGAAAATCCTGAAAATTAATGAACTCTCTTTATCCTTGCGCTACTAACTAATGCATTTCTGAATATTTAATCATTCTATCATGAAGGGATTACACTGTGGAAATGATTGATAATTGTAATTTATAATGGTTCATAATTAGAAATGATTTATTCAAGAGCTTTATTTTGGATAATTAAAAGAAGATTCTATATTTCTAAGATCTTGAAAAATATTTGTATAATAACCCAACATTAATTTTTATTGGCTTTGTGTATTATTTCTACCAATGCTACAACTTTACTTGCAACTAATTTATGAATTAATAGTAGTGAAATTTGTGTGAACTTAAATAATTATTTTATATTTTACATTATATTGATGATTTGCAGCACTTCTTTTTTCCCTGCAATCTACTTTGTACATTTGTACATCAAATGTTATATTTGATTCAAGCACTTTGTGTTCAGTAGATTAGAAAATCGTATGCAAATAATTTACATGCCTGGCAGCTGGAGTTTGCCTTTAACAAAATTGTTTTCCACAATTAATTTTTATTGATTTTATCAGTATAACCCATAAGTTTTTAAAAAGATCAAACTGACTTTAAGGCCTCAAAATCTTTACACAATTTTAGCTGTACACAATTTTAATAAAAAATAAAAAAAGTCTCAAATATTTTGAAAATAATCTAGGATTAAAGTCATGGTTGTGGTGTGCTTTCTGCATTTATAATATGATTTTCAAAGTGTTTCAAACTGTTACTTTGTGTGTTCCAACATACATCACACTTTATAATTATGTATTAATGTATTTGATTCATTTTAGACAACTCCCAGCGGGCTCATCAAAAGCTACAAACAATTCAAAGATTTTTACATCAGCCAAGTATATCAATAACTCCATTGCCTAGGCAATCTGTATCTTCGAGTAGCACTAGTAATTCTCCAACTTCAAATGCCAATAAGCCAGGCCAACAGGCTACAGGAAAAGCAGCATTTGTTATTTGTGAAATTTGTGATGGTTATATAAAGGACTTAGATCAATTAAGAAATCACATGCAGTGGATTCACAAAGTTAAGGTAATTGACTAGAATATGCATGCCATATGCCACAACGATTTATTGCTCAATTATTATCAAAGAATTATAATAAATTTTGTGTTTTTTAGATTCATCCAAAGATGATTTATAATAGGCCGCCATTAAATTGCCAAAAATGTCAGTTTAGATTCTTTACTGATCAAGGTTTAGAAGGCATTTACTCGGATCTCATGGTTTAGTGACTTCATCTATGCAAGAAGCAGCTAATAAAGGCAAGGATGTGGCAGATGTCCAGTTTGCGGTCGAGTAAGTTGAAAATAACTCTATTGTTTCCTGTTGTGTAATTGAATGAAATAGATAATTCTAAAGTCTTACAATTTTTTCATTTAGGTTTACAATGGAAATTTATTAAACCACGTTAATCGCGATCACAATATGACTTTAAAACCTGCACACCTCTCCTACAAATGTACAGTATGTACGGCCACATTTGGAATGTCAAACAATTTGAAAATCTGTCTATTCAGCGCACAGTTGTGGTTGCAAAGAAAGTCATGGATAAAAAAACAACGCCTGGCAGTGGCCAGCAGTTAGTAGTCCTCTAAATAAGGTAAAGAAATTAATTAGTAAAAGATATGGAACTAAATACTATAACAACATAATTATAATTTTTACCCGTAAAAATCGCCCTCTGGAATTTTCTTTGAGATCAAGATAATAACGACGATTATCTTTTATCATCATCTCTGACTTAAGCTTACCGTCTTCTGGAACATTCTCTGGGTTGGGCGGACCTATTAAACAAATTGAACCAATATACAAAATATATACATATTTTAAATTATTGATTGATACCATAGAATGCAAATAAACCAACCTAAGGATGCATAGTAATCACTAAAAGTTGATAAATGATCTCTAAACTCAGCGGCTGTTGACAAAGCTAAATATACTTGGCTGCGACGTCCATCAGCACCAATCTACAAATTTAAAAAAGTTGATGGTTACATTCAAATCAAAATTTAAATATACAATCAAAAAATTTCTGGAAAATCTCTCAAAATTACTAACCTCAGCAACTTTTATAAACCTGCCTCTGCGATTATGTTTCACATCAAGATAGAAACGCTTGGCTTGAATTTGCAACATTTTGTTGCAAGTTCTATCTCAGTTTGCTGACCTAAAATTGTTAAAAATTTAAGAGAATCTTAATGCTTATGCATATATGAGAAAATAGAAGTGATCCTAAAAAATTTAAGTCTTATTTTAAAACAAATTTAATGTGACAATGCTGAATGATTTTACTCACCTGAATCAAAATCCGCTCCTCCTGCATCCATTCCCTGGCCATGGTATTCTAAAATTTTCAACAAAACATAATAGTGTTTTAATTCTATAGAATCTAGATCCTTATTCAAATTTACATGTTTGATATATTTGAAACCGTAAATAATCGCAAAATTCAATTAAAATGGCAAAGGGTACTACATATCACAAGTTCGTTGCAAAATAATATTCCTATTTAGTTAAATTTATTATTTTACTGCATTTCGTATAGTTAAAAGATAATATATGGAGTCGGCCATTTTTAACTATTTAATCTGAAACAGATGTCAAAATTATATTCTGTTACGCTAGTGGAAGCGTTATAATAACTATAATAAATTGTCGGGCTAGTTTTCATTTGATTTATTAAAAATGCTACGTTTTTATTTGTACATACTCTGGCTGGGAATCCCTTCGTCTCCACTGCCAATATCCGACATTGCAAACCCACACAAATTTCACACAACACAGTACTTTAGGGCCATAGTCAGTTTACATGTACGATTCTATTTTCGAACGAAAAGTCAACCCAGCGTCAGAGATATTCATAACGATTACGGAAAACAAAAACACTATTTAGACGTGGTAAAACTAGTTATGAATATGATTTCAATCAAAAAAATAATTATTTTTAATTAAATTACGTTTTACATATCATTTGTCTGATAAATATTATTTAAATGTTGGATCAGTTTTTCATTTAAAATTTGAATAAAAAACGGATTTGCAACTTCTATTACACTTAATTAGTATTATTATTTTTATTATTGAATTAACATTGAGATGATAAGATTTCTGGAAATATTAAGATAACTAATCACTATTTGTTATTTTATTTGTATTTAAATTTAAAAAATTCAGTCTGTCTGGCAATTCAGTTTTAAATACTTTTTGTTTAAAATTCATAATTTATTAAATTAATTAAATTTGGTAGTTTATTAAATTACCAAATTTATTATTTCATATAGCAGCGTTGTGATGAAAATTAATTATTGCAATAATTTTATAAAGCTCAAAAAAAATTTCTTCTTTCGGCTCTGTTAGTATACAATTATAGTCACTTCAAAAATGGTATATTCTGCAAATGATATTTTTGAATAAATCAAAATTAAATAGCAATTAAAAGCTCAATTCGTTCTGTAACCATGCTCGCATTTCGAATTGCTCTTATCCCGAAGCATTTTTCCATATAAATTCATTGAAAAAAATTTCAGCACTGTGTTTTTTTGATAACATATTCTCCAATCAATAAAAATGACAAAATTATCATTATACTAGTTTTTACGTTTAAGAAACTATCCAATGAGCATAATTTTCTCTTCAATTTATTATAGTATTACGAAAATAAGTTGGACAAATAGATAAATAAACATAACTTGGATATGTCTCGTCAAATAATTCTGCTCGACCGTTTGCATCTTTTTCAGGGTGATTTTTATCCACAAACTTTTGAACTTTGTCCCACATTGCACAAACAAATTCACAACTTTAATATTAATGAATTGCAATGTTTAACTTTAAAATAATTTACTTTTATGATACTTCACATACGAAAATCCTTGTTACAAGTTACAATTGGTATTAAATGAACCTGTTTCATTCGCACCCTCATAAGTTTCCATTACGCCTCTCACTCGCACGTATCCCCAAGCAACAAATCGCTTCTTTGGCGGCTCGTATCTCGAATTTTGCTCGTATGACAAAGTAAATAAGACGCTTTTTTGGCGGCTCGTATCTCGAAAAACGAGTCGCTCGTAAGGCGGAGTACCACTGTATTTGAATTTGAATTTGAATTTTTAGTGCTTTTGTCTATGGCCAGCTGTCGCCACTTTTTATGGTTGGCATGTGTGACTTTGTGAGTGTGCAGTTTCGACGCTCGTGCGCTGCCGCCGCTCCAGTGTCTCTTTTGAACTTGTTATGTGACGTATATATATTTGCATGTTTACTATGGTCGATTAGAATAGAATACGTGTAGCATTAAATCGCGTTGTACAGTGAATATTAGAAAGTGTTGTGGATAAAATACATTGTAAGTACAATAAGCGATTAATTTTATGTAATACTAAATTCAATAAAATTTGCATCTCGTTCGATTGGCTTGTATTCTTCGATTTTCTTTCAAATATATAACCAAAGTGTGAATAAAATTATATTATTTGTGTTTTTGTTGTTGATTTCACTTTTTAAATTCTGTCGTTCGTTGTTAATTTGTTCGAACAGGTCTTTTTTATAATATTTGGAACGCAAGCGGCGATGTTATTTCTTTTTTTTATAGTAGGTTATATACCCAATCCGGGTTTTCGAGGTGCACGGCGACAAGGTGTTATTGCATTTGAATCATATGAAATTTTATATGCATTCTTGTTGTTTATGCACTTCAAATATTTTTAACATAATATTTTCGTAAAATTAAAATAGGAAAATATGTTGGACTACGAAATATACTATCAAATATTAGTATTGATTAATTAATTTTTGTTTAGATCATAAATAAATAAATAAAATTCATATGTGTATGTATACATATACACACACGCACACCCACACACACACTATATATATATATATTATATATATACATATATTGAATTAATAAAACAGCCAATGCGTCGATTTAGAAAGTTTATTTTAATTTTTTTATACGTTTCGAGACTATATGTGTCTCATCATTCAGCTAAAAGAAATTTACAATATAAAGTAAAGTTTTGAAATAAAATTTATACATTAGAAAAATTAATTAAAAAACAAATTATACACACCAGATTAGGAAAAAACACACTTAACTATCACATTTTACAACACAACAATCACATGCTACTACTGTATATATATATATATATATATATATATATATATATATCTATAATATATATATATAGATTAAATCTTCAGGGCATCCATACATCAATTAAAAATTGTAGAATTTTATAAAATCTTTATTATTTCCACACATAATCTTATGCCATCTTCATGCAATTTAAATTGGAAAGTTCTTAGTTAACTCATAATAATAATTCATAATAACACTGTTACACTATTTCTTGTCAATTCAAATCAAAAATATTTTTAGATTGATTTTTTTTAAATGTTAGATAAAATATTGCAACTTGTCTTTTGCAAACTTCAGTTTTGTTTTGCATGGAAGCTGGAGCAAGTTGCAATGTTTCACCTAATATTGAAAAAAATTCAATCTAAAAGTAATATTTTTGATTTCCTTATTATAGTAGCAAACGTTTCAAGTCCTGGTTTAACCCATCTTCAGTGCATACAAGTAATTAAAAGAGCACAAATGTGAACACTAACTAATATAAACATATGTAGTTATATAACAAAAATTGTTTAATAAATATTAAATTAAAATAAATAATGCATTTGAAATGCATACAAACTTCCGAACAGTCAACATCTACCTTATTTATTTATTTTAATTTAATATTTATTAAACAATTTTTGTTATATAACTATAATTATATTAATCAGTGTTAACAGTTTTGTGTTTCTTTATCAAATTATTTGTATGCACTGAAGATGAGTCAAACCAAGACTCTAAACGTTTGCTACTATAATAAAGACATTTTATTTAATTGAATTTTTTTTTATTATTGGATGGATGGTTTAAGATTTAGATTTTTTTATTCGACGTTCAGACATATCTTGAATGTTGATTTTCAGCTAATCGTCGAAATAAAAGAAAACAAAATAAATAATAAAATATTTATTTATACGTTTCGACACGGATTGTGTGTCATCATTTTTGAAATTTTTGTTATACAGTATCACACCAGGATTTTTTTTTATTGTTTTAGAGCTTTGAACAAAGAATCCAAATGTAATAAAAAACAGAAAAGTTTTTTAAACGTTTAAACTTTTAAAGTTTTGAAAAGAACTACATATTTCTTTATTTATTTACCGACGTTTCGGAACTAGGTACGTTCCATCTTCAGGACATCTGTCAAGAAACATGATCTTGATAAGATTTAAACAAACCTTAAATATATTTAAGAAAAGTAGAAAATGGTAGATTTTTTTATATAAAATGAATAAAATTGTGGATGAAAGAACATTACAAAAACATTACAATATAATCAAAATGAAAGTAATAAAAATAAATGAGTGGATTATATAACAAAATATTAGAAATGTTAGAAAATTAGAAACTTTTTTTTAAAAAAAGGGTAAAGAAAAAACAGAAATAATTACCTGTATGATTGATTATATATACGAGGTGTGTTCAAAAAGTACTCGGAATTACTAATAATTAAATTTCGCGGGTCTGGAGTGTCTGATTGTCAAAATTTTTTTTTTATTGTGTTGGTATACATGCCCCTAAAGTATGATGAAATTTTCAGCTATATTCACTGTTTACTTTGTCTGTGGTAGTCGCTAAGGTTCGACGTGTTTTTCTGAGCTCGGCGATTTTTACAATGGAAGAATTGAAAAGTCAAAGAATTTGTATTAAATTTTGCGTAAAAAAATGAAATAAAGTGTTGCAAAGTGCAAAAATTCACCAGATATGGCTCCGTGTGACTTTTTCCTATTCCCAAAGTTGAAGAGACCCAGGAAAGGCGGTTTTCCTCGATTGAAGAAAATCGCTGAGAGTGCTCAAGGACATATCAAAAAGTGAATATCAAGGGTGCTTCGAAAATTGGAAAAAACGCTGGCATAAGTGTATTATATCTGGGGGGGACTACTTTGAAGGGGACCACAATAATGTAGACGAATAAATAAATATTTTTTTGAAAAAACGAAAATTCCGGGTACTTTTTGAACAGACCTCGTATATATATATATATATATATATATATATATATATATATATCTGAAATATTTTGCAGCCCAATCGTCGAACTAAAAAAATATTAAAATAGATTTTTTTTTATTCCATTAATGAAGTAAAAAACAAATTCTATTTTAATATTTTTTTAATTCGACGATTGGGCTGCAAAATACTTCAAATATGTATTAACGTCGACAAAACTGTCATATATATGTATATTTATTTATTTGTTAAGAAAAAGTCGATTTTTTTCCTTTGTGACCATATAAACTAGCTTTTTAATATTCATGAAATTTAAATTAATTAAAATCTTATATATATTTTGATAATCAAAGGTATGTTAATTGAAAGGATTAAATCGGTTTATATTTACTTACCATGCATTTTGATGCAAGCGTTGAACGCAATAAAACCGCATCAATCGTGTAATTATAAAATCGTACCCCAATAGTTTCATTGTGAGTATTATATAGTTTTCTATATTGAATATTAAATATTTGCTAAGCCTTACTACGAACTTTATCTTATTTCCTATTGCTCTCAATTCTTTTATCTCCTTATAAATGAAATGATGGAAGTGCTATATTGTCAACACATGATCTCATTCAATTGTAATTGAATTCACAAAATCTTAATAGGTATTTCTTATGGCATTAGTCAAAGATGTTGTCAATTCACAAAATGGCTTGTCCTGAAATGTAGTTAAGCACAATTACTCGTATAAATCCATTTATCTAGAGCAAATAAAT